CATGCAATGTTCCAGCCTTGGGAAAGAGCGGCTGGGAAGGTGCCCAGCAGAAAAGGACCTGGGGCTGTTGGTCAACAGCCGGCTGAATATGAGCCAGCGGTGTGCCCAGGTGGCCAAGAAGGCCAATGGCATCCTGGCTTGTATCAGGAATAGTGTGACTAGCAGGAATAGGGAAGTCATCCTTCCCTTGTACTCAACATTGGTGAGGCTGCATCTTGAGTTCCGTGTTCAGTTTTGGGCCCCTCAGTTGAAGAAGGACTTTGAGGCACAGGAGCATGTCCAGAGGAGAGCAACAAAGCTGGTGAGGGGTCTGGAGCACATGTCTTATGGGAGCAGCTGAGGGGGCTGGAGTTGTTTAGCCTGGGGAAAAGGAGGCTGAGGGGAGACCTTATCGCCCCCTACAACTGCCTGAAAGAAGGCTGTAGCGAGGTGGGTGTTGGTCTCTTCTCCCAATGACAACGGATAAGACAAGAGGAAATGGCCTCAAATTACACCAGGGGAGGTTTAGTTTGGATATTAGGAAAAACTTCTTCACCGAAAGGGTTGTCAAACATTGGAATGGGCTGCCCAGGGAAGTGGTCGAGTCCAGTCTCTGGAGTTATTTAAAAGACAGATAGATGAGGTGCTTAGGGACATGGTTTAGTGGTGGAATGGCAGTGTTAGGTTAATGGTTGGACTTGATTATCTTAAAGATCTTTTCCAACCTAAACAATTCTATGAGAGGCTTTACCACCACAGGGGGAACTGCCTGCTGATCCCCTGCCACAGAGTTGGCAGCACACTTGTTCACTGTTGTGGTGCCCTGATGGGAAGCCAAGTATGGCCCAGGCTTAGCAGCTGGTGATGGCTTAATGGCACCCCATAAGACTGTTCTCCTTACAAATTATCCAGTTATAGATTTTTATGATTCCAGTGATGGAGCAGTCAGTCAAGGCACCACTCTCTCCCACCATGCATTAGAGAAGGGAGTCAGAACCAGGTAAGTACAGGTTGAATGAAGGATCTGACGATCTCCATGGCGTGCTTCCCCCTTCACAATTTTACATGTAATCATCCACTAACTTCTACTGCCTTTGGGAAATGAAACCACAAGCAATGTCAGGGAATAAGCAAATTATAGCACAGAACTAATTGCCATCTTATTGGCCTTAGTAGCACACAGAGAAGCTGTTCTATGTAGAAGTAGGGCTAGAAATTCACGACACCACATTTAGAATTTGCCAAAGATCCTTAAACTCAATACACTCTATATCCCCAGCTAAAGTATTGTGAATACTTGCTCCTTCAGATAAGATAGGTAGAGATATGATGGGAATTTGTCTTGCAATATGGAGTTTGGCTTCCCTTGATGATAGGAGGATCCTCAAAAAGAGGATCTGGTATACCTAATTTAGGAAACCTTCCCCTATATTGACAAAGCTCTTAATTTAGACAATGACATTACGTTTAGTGAGACAGTGTGTTTATTTCTGTTTCTGTATAATATGCTGCTGCTGTGCTTACAGTAATTGTCCCTGAATTTCCATGTAAGGTTTTCCCTGGCATGGAGCTTTACATGGAATACAGGTCAGGAGCTGTGCATAAATACTGAAAATGTCAGCATTTGGGTTTGAGCAATATGA